GCGCTCTTTCTGGGAAAGGCTGACCAGTCCAAATCCATTTTAAAGATCCAAACCTTCAAACAGGAGTCTTGAAGTTGCCCACCCCAGCCAGCTCCTGGACAACAAACTGAGCTGACACTCAGCTACCCTCACTGTGGTGACATTCTTGCATTGTATTTAATCCTTTCTGAACATGCATCTCTACATACAAAAGCATATGCAGGTTTTACACAAATAGGTGTCCTTTGTGGTGGGTGCATTTTTGTTTTGTGGTGATAAGTCAGTCTGGAACATCGGTGACTGAAGATCACCACTTCCCATGTATTTCTATTCAAAGCCTGAAATCAGCTTCTCAAGTGCCTCTCGGATTTTCCTAACTAAAATGGCATATGGAGGGCGACTGCAAGGGAGAGGGCCTTTTCAGCAAAGGTCTTGCAGTGGAGGAATGCCTTCCTCAGAAAGGGCCACCTGGTGACTTTTTGAATGCCTTTTTGGTGCCAGGAAAGGAACTTTTTGTTTCCAGGTGCTTTATATCCTATCATGGTTGTATACTTTTAGCTCTGTCCATTTCATTCTTCTGCCCTCGGGTTTAAGTTGGTTTGTTGCTGCTGAAAAGCTTCGTTTCCTCTGTTCCCTGTCTCAGAGCCCCTTGGGATCTGATAATGGTGTTGTATCAGCTGGCTCTGCTTTGATGTCTTATTGTAATGTTGTCTGATTTAAATTCCTGTAAGCCACCCAGAGAATTGCAGCCACGGATAAAAGGGCATTGGGATCATTTCCACAGTCCCAAAGCTTTCGTAGTGGTTATTCCCCAGCTATGCAACTCCATCTCCAGAGGTTCATCAAAGGCTGAGCTCCTAGCGGGGGGGGAATGGTAGCTATCATAAAATGCATTCCAGTGAGCACTTTTCCATTTTATATATAGCTTTCTACCGTATTTTGGGTTTTTAATAACAGTTTTGTTCTGCCCAGTCACAGATATTGCCTGGGTGAGTTCAAGAAGAGAAAAGAATAAGCAACAGGGATGCAGCTAAGACATGGTGGAATGCTAGAAGCAGGATTCCAGAAGGTCTGGGAGAAAAGAACCGTGCTGGAAAAGTGCCAGTGCCAGATGAACCTCCTTAAGGTGCAAACGAGTGAGCAGACCTTCTTCGCTGTTGGGCTTCCTTCAGTGAGGGCACCCAGAGAAGGATCTCTGCTGATGAGGGTTTTTTAAAAGCCTCATAAAAGTACCGGGGGTGGGGGGAGATTTTCAGGGTATGTGTGGCAGGCCTAAGCTCTCACTTCCTCAGTGCTGTGACCTTGATTTTAAAAGTGCCACCAGGCTTTTTAAAAGCCTCCATTAGTACCCGCTGAGGTTTGATAGCATCAAGGTACTTTTGTGCAGTGTTTGAAGCATGTGGGTCCTCATGCATTGAATTTCATAGAAATCACCTTTGCAGAACAGAACATTAAATTATACCACTATTGTTTCTGTCCTGTTTTTTGTAATGCAGAATAATGCACACGTGCATATTGGGAAAACAGAACAAAAATGATGTTAATATATGCACAATCTCATAGAAATTGCCTTTTTGTAGTGTTTTCTCAATGCGCAAATGCACATGGGAAAGAAAGGAAGTGAAAGCTGTACTAAACTAACAGCACTCCATTAAAAAAAAAAAGATTTATGGGGGAAATGCAGCTAAGCTGAGCTGCCAATGCATTGGTGCAACTTTAGCAATGAGTTTGGATTATTTGCATGCACTCTCATACCCATTTAAGGAATAATCCCCCTGGGGGGCGGGATATGCCCAGACAGGTGTGCAACCTTAGAACTCTCAAATCTTAGAAGAAAATCAGGCAGAGAAATTCAGAAGGGTCCTTAGCTTCATGCCTAGTGTCACTGCTACCTATGCAAGTAGAAGCTTTTGCTTCTGAATGGGTGACATCTAGCATGATGCAAATGGATTTCCACCTGCACATCTGCCTTTCCCCTTCTTCTCCTCCCCATGCGCCTTTTGTTCCCCCCACTCCTGCAAGTAGCTTCAAGGCCTGGGAGGAGATGTGGTGGTGCGTGCGGCCATGGGGCACTGCTGCAAGGAGGGGGGGAAATCCAGTCCATTGCAGTATCTCTTGTGACAGTGGAGGCACTGCATTGGATGCAAGCCAGTGTTCTGGGGCTCCCAGCTTTTAGCCCTGCGCAATCCCTTCCTTCCAATTTAATTTTACCAGCCTTCCCAATTTCAGAAGCCCTGTGTGTGCAGGTGTGCGACTGCACATTCCATGGGCATCAGTGTAAGGCATGATGCAGCAACAAACTCCTCCCATATCCCAGTCTGGGAAAACTGGATTGTGCAGCCAGAGTCTGATTCTGTATTTCAGAACAAAGGAGACACGTGAAAGTTCAAATGTACACACACAGAATGCTCAAATGGAAAGATCTGCGGCTTTTGGTGAATCGCTGAACTGTTATCATTGCCAGCACATTGATTCCACCCAGAGCTGTGTCCTGCTCATTTTGCTTGCTATTGCATCATTCAGTGTGCTGGTGTCTTTTTATGAGTCAGTTTCCATAGCTGACTAATTCTCCTTCTCCTCTGCTTTTCCCAGAGTGAACCCCAACAGGGAACTGAGCTCTTCCAAACACTTCTGATTATTTCCTCCTTCCAACCGCCCTTCAGAGCTCTCTTCTGCTGGCTAATGTGTATTTCCATTTCCATTTGAAGCTTGTAAACCAGTACGACCACTTGAAAAGAACATGTTGGGAGTTCTCTCAACCAGGAAGGTTTGCACCCATGTCCCCTGTTTTAAAAATATACTATTTATCCTCTCCTGATAAACAACAGACAAGCTGTTCCAAATGTCTCCTTCTGAAAAGCCACAGGATGCCCAAGGAGACAGCCAGTGTATCGCACGCCGTCTCATGAGTCTAAAAGTGTGCCATCTCTGTCGTGCTTCATTTGCCTCATGGTTAGCTGAGACATGACTTCTTTGACAGTTTTAGCATATAGCAAAAAATCTGAGCCACCTTTTGAGACCAGGATGGGGAACATGATGCACTTCAGACACTGTTGGACTACAGTTCCCATCTTTCTTGCCATAGAGTGAGCCATGTGTCATGCACGGTTCTGTCCTTCAACTTCCTGTCCCCTATCTTTGCCCCTGCTGCGTGCCTCACTCTGCCGAATGGGAGGGCTGGCAGAAAACCCAGTTCTTCCATTAAACCTTTGGCATAACATCCCTCTAGTCCTCACGCTTTCCCCTAAGCACACAGTTGTGCAGTCACGATTCCGCAAGCATTCTCAGACTTCCTCTCAGCTCGGCTTACTTCCTAGGACAGAGTCGAGGGAGCCTGTGAACTGAAGATTTCAGGGAGCTTCGCTGCAATACCGCCCCAGGTTTCAGGCAGGAGCTCTTCCAGTCATCCTTGGGGGTGCCCAGGAGGAAGCCGGGGGCCTTCCAATGCTGCACATACCTCTAAGCCCCATCCTGCTCCCTGCGAGAAGCCTGTGCATGCTGCAGCACATCACTGCATGCCCCTCTTCCCAGTGGGTGACACTAACAGGACCAAGAGCCAACTCACGGATTAAAAAAAGCCTTAGAAAGTCCGTGGTCTATAATTTTTAATATTTTTTAAACTAGCTACAAAATGTCAATCACGTCACAAACTGACAGGAGACAGAAGGAATGTCATAATACATGCGGCAACTATATTTAATCTCACAGTTTTATCTAGATTCATTCATGTAGGTTATTTTTATTTCATTTTATTTTTAATTAATAACAGCTACTAAACATTGCAGTGATTTTGGTGTGCATAGCTCTAGGTAAGCAACAGAGAACTGTACCAATAACAAACCACATGGGGGAGAGAAGGCAGAAAGGGGGGGGGGAGAGAGAGAGAGAACCTTATAAAAATTACATTTCTCTGCAACATTTCTTATGGTAGCCATTCCCTCCCCCCTGAAAGAAGACAGTCTTTTAAAGCAGCAGACAAACTCTATATATTACACCAATTTCTTATTTGTTGATGCTTTGTGTGTGTGCATGTGTGTGCATGTGTGTATCCTTGACGTAATTTTCAGCCAAACGTTTAATTTGCTGGGAATGGTTAAATGAGGAGTGTCAAACCTCTTTTGAAATTAAAAGTAGAAAAAAGAAAAGGAAAGAAAAGAACATGGCTCATAACTATATATATTTATATTTATATATATATAATATATATATATATATATTGACAAGAAGAAAGAAAGTGGCACTACTGCAAACTTGCTGGTATAACATAGTCCTGACAGTGTCCCAATACCGAGCATGCGAATTTTTTGTTTCCTTTTGTCGTTGTTGATGTTGCTACTGCCATGGAAAGGTCTCACTTAAGTTAAGGAGTCTAAAAGTATTTCTCATGCAATAAATGCATAAATCACATCACTTTTTTCTGATTTAGTGCAATGCTTGTTATAAGTTATATAATTCCACATTGTCTAATCATGAACTCATAACAACTGATGACAGCAATGGATAACTGAGAGAACACCAAATCTTTAAGTGCTTAAACAACGTGACATCTGAAGAAAAGACTGCTGGGAGTAGCTCTGTGGAATGTTAACAGTTTTACAAGAACAATACTTTATAGTTAAAAGTTTAACAGCACGTTGAGCATTCCTACATTTTTGTCATTCAGCAAAAACATCGTAAAGTTTAAAAAACAAACCCACCAACCAAAAACAGACAGACAAGAAAGGAAAGGGAGGAACGGAAGGGAAGAAAAACCCCCAACAAATGAAATTGAACATGAGCTATAGCCATCAAACCAGTACTATATACAACCTTTGGAAAGGAAGAGATCTGGGAAATAAAAATAAATTTACAAGTATCATTTTTGGAAAGCTGACAACCTACACAGGACAACATTTAGAATGCGGGGAGAAGAGGGATGGATATGTGCAGGTGTGCAAACCTAGGTGGTCAATACCATGAGGAAAAGCGTGACGGGGCTGCCCGGAGCGGGCAGCGTGGCGAAGATCTGCACTCGGGCGCATTTAGCCGCTGCCCAGCATCTTTGTTGCACGTTGATTGGCCTCATCGATCCTGGTTTTGTTGGAAACAGCCTGAATGGGAGGACAAGAGGGAGGAGAAAAGAAGGGGAAGGAAAGGGGGGAAAGTAATTGTGGAAGATGTACGCCAGCATGAACAACGGCAATTCAAGCACGGGTCCCCAGTGCATGTTCAGAGTGATGTTCCAATCCAGGGAGGGTGGCACAGAGTCAGGAGTGCCAGGACATGGCACAGAAAAGCCAGCAGCAGCAGAAGCAGCATTTCTGCGGTGCTGGCCCAGCTCCCCGATCACTGCACTGGGTAACTCATAGCTTAGAGCTGCTCATTCTTCTCCCTGCGGCTGGACGCCTTTGCGTGGGCAGCAGGGAGAAGGCATGGTGAAGGCCAGCAAGGTGAACTGTCCCAGACTGTCTGTTGGTTAGCTCTGAAGAACATCGGGCACTCTCGTAAGGACCAGTGATGGGGTTGAAGTTCGGACTGGGGGATTTAGGTGTATGGGCACCACCAGTTTGAAAAGCTACATCCCTTTGTGCATCAGTGACCAACTGCATGTTGTCAGAAAGAAAGAAAGAAAGAAAGGGGACCTGCATCATCAAGAAAGAGATCAGAAGAGGCACTGATTTGCACAAGATTTACTTAGGCTAGTGTATGTGTCTAGATGCCAATCTGGAGATAATAGCTAGAATTTATTTGAGTGGACATGTAATGATACATCTCAGCGTAGTGTGGAAGACTGTGGCCAGGTGGCCTATGTGCTGGCTAAGGTGCTGAGGGCTGACAGACAACCTCAAACACCCTGCTTTAAACTGGACTTGGACTAGGCAGCCTTTCCTATAGAGGACACCTTCAAACAGAGGACTGTTCTCTCGCAGGCCTTTTGATAGGGGACTATGCAGAGTATATAAGATACAAGGCCACCCTAGTGAGGACAAGCTTCCTTTTGAATTCAGATTTGGCTTGCAATTATATTTGCTCCCATTCCTGCCATTAGCAGGCCTTCTCTACTCCACCTGCTTCCCGGGCAAAATAAAACAACAACCCAACCTCCAGGAAGGAAGGGCCACTTATTGTGGGAAGGCGTAGCAAAGGCTGGCCACAAGCTTTACTTTATATACCTTCCGTACAGCCTTAAGTGCCTGATGCTGCCTCATCTTGGAAACTAAGCAGGATCAGGCCTGGTTGAAATTTGGATGGGTGACTTATTGTTGTGACCACCCAGAGAATTGGGTAGAATAGAAATGCTATTTTTCTTCATTATCATCATCATCATCCATAGGTCCCCAGTCCTTGTGTCCCACTGCAGCTATGCCTGTGCAATTAAAAGTGAAGTGACCACACTGAAATGATTTGCACTGCATTAACCCTGGCCTAGCATGCAGCAGCATCTCCCGCTTTCCTGTATATACCAACTTTCTGATCCAAAACAACATATTCATAAAGGGGACATAGTGGGTGAATGGCACCCTATATTCTCCACGATGTTCCCCCTGTAGCCCTACCTTCTCCATGATCCTGTCAATTTGGCGGTTCTGTGTGTCAATCTCATTGCCCATGTCCAGGGCCATGTGACGGAGGTTCCCAATGATGCCGCTGACCTGCTCCAGGTTTTCATCCATCTCGCCTTCTCGGGCATCATTTGTTACCCTGCCAAGGAATAAGGAGTAACAATGGACTGAATTGTTTCATAAGTTACCGATCCATCCAAAATCGTTGTAAACTGCCCAGAGAGCTTCAGCTTTCAGGCAGTATAGTGCTGAAATAAAGAATAAGAATAAATTACTGGAGCCCTTTGCCTGTTCAAAGGGATTGACTAGCTTCCTTCTTACTGCTGAATCATGAAACAATGCTCATTTGCCAGGCCTCCTGGAAATACTTATAACAAAGTACAGCACACACATTCTTAAAATAATGAAAAAATAATTGTCTCCATAATACAAGTCTATTGGATAACGTTTCCTTTGTCAGAGACGGAGAGGAGCCAGAGATAGGGAGGGAGGGAGTGAAAGGTGGGTGAGTAGGAGGGTGGGAAAAAGTAGGGGGAAAGTCAAGAGAAAGAAAGAGAAGTGCACAAGGCATGGGCACACACACACATATGAGGGCACTCCTGCTGACCACCCCCCAAAATGATAGCACCCAGGGCACTCTTTCAAAATGCCAAATGAGCCCATGGGCTGAAATGGTTGGAAGCCCCTGCTTTAGGCAGTGGTATCATGTAACCGTGCGTGGCTATACCATGCATTTTCCTATTTATTATGATCATTGCCCTTATTTTCCTCCCTCCCTCCCTCCCTCCCTTCCTCCTTATTACCCATTGAATGGCTTATTAGCCATTCTTCCCACTTTCTAGGAACCCAAGATGCCTTACACAGTCCTCTTCTCCGTCATTTCTTTAGGGGAGGTTAGCTGAAAGTCAGTGACTGGCCCAAAGTCACCCAGTGAGCTTCATGGCCAAGTGCCCAATAGAACACAAATCTTCCATGTTTGAGCTTAGCACTGTAAAATATGCCACTCTGGCTGTCCTTTTATCAACACACAAGGCTAAAATTAAGGGCAAGTCTCCAGATGCAGGCAGCCCTGGCAATGTTGCCACCACGGCCACCACAGCCACCATCAAAATGTGTGTTTTGCAGAGTTTTCTGTGGCTTTGGATACTCCCTCCCCACTTGCCACATGATGGTAAGGGACAGTCACCAACTTTGTAGTCTGGAGCTATGAACCCTGCAGACTTGTTTAGACTACCATAGATTTCAGGAAAGCTCTGTATTACCCTACAATTAGGAGGGGAGAAGAAGAGGAGAAGTGACTGCAGCGTTCTGCAAAGGAGATGGTTGCCCTCATAGCTCCTATTGGGTTAGGGTTCATAGTGAAAGGCAGGGATGGCTTGGTTGCCCCCCAAAACTCTGTCGGAGAAATGCATTCAAAGCCCATGCCAAAGGTCCCCCGGCTATTTGAGGGTTGTTGGGAACATTTGGAATCTTGAGAGAGTTTCAAGGGTGCCGTGGGGGCTCTGTCCATCCACAAAATGGCTGCCATAGTAGGCATGGCCAGTCAGCAAATGCTCATTTCCCAGAAGGCAAACCAGTGAGAGGAGAAGAAAAGTATCGTTCCCAAGAGCCTAGGTTCAAGGCAGAGGTGGGGCCTGAGTCCCGGAAACAACCAACCAACCAACTTTTGAACCCAAATTATGACAGGGCTGAAATGCAACAGACCACTTTTCGGCAGATCAACCTTCTAGTTAAAGAAAAAAAGGTTAAACATTTAGGAATGGCACAGATCTTAGAGAATGCCCAGAGCGGTGTCTGTGGCCATACTGGTGTCCAAAAACACTAGTGGAGCCCCCAGGCTTGTGCTTCCAAAGATCCTATAATTCTGGGGCCTATGGTCCAATTTGAAGTTTTAAAGAACTCTTCTCAAAAGAGGCATGGAATGTCCATGGACATTTTTGAAGCAGTCAGGCTAATTCAGCAGGTCATTGTCAACTAGAGAATCCACTGTAGTTAAAACGGATAAATGACTCTCTCTAGGACCATATGGAAACACTCCTAATATGCCAATGGCAGCAAAGAAGACAGGAAAAGATAAAAAGGGGGAAGAACTGCAACAACCCACCACTCTCACCTGCGGATAAATCCTCCACTGATGGCCATCTGTTCTCGCTCATCCACGACTCGTGCAGGCTGGCTGGCTACAACCCCATCTTGATTATTGCCCCAAGCTTTTTTATAAGCATCACTTGATTTAAGCCTATGCAAAAACAGAAGGTGAGTAACGAAGCCCCACATGGGGAGAGACAACTGCCAAAAATACAACAGCAAGATTACTTCTTCAAGCTAAGAGCTGAGTCAAGCAAATGAGGGTTTGAGAAAGGGGACATTGTGGTATACCGATATATCATAAACCTGAACAAATATGTTTTGTTTTATTCGATTTAAGCTTTGCTGCCACAACTGTGATGCCTAGAAATTTCATTTTCAGTGGAATCAGTTCCAATGGCCAAGTTGGTGACATTCATTGTTTTGGTTGGCTTACTGTTTGTTTGATTGATTTTTTTGGAGGGAGGCAAAACAATAAAAATCAGGAAAAATAAAGATGACTAGAAAACATTTGGCTGTATCTCCTGACACATGTATATAGTAGGACATGTAACATAGAGGACGGACTGCTGGACTGACGTGAAAGGAAAACCACCAAGTGTAGTGTGTATATCACATCACAACAACACACCATCTTAGATTTTGTTATAAAAAGACAGACAGACAGACAGACAGGCCTTTTTTAGGCACAGTGCCATGGCCAAGGTTCTTTTTTCAAATGCGTGGCACAGTGATTGTATACATCCACCAACCTTGCCAACCTTATATCAGGATCATGGCAGGTTGGCTTGTTTGCCTTATGAGTCACAGTGAGGGCAATTGAACGAGCAATTGTAATAATATATCGGTACTTGAAAGGAGTAACTATACATCTAGAGCTGATGTACAAACCTTTGTCCACAGAGACAAAAAGTAAAATCAGGCCAGAGTGGGATGATGAGTGCGGGAAAAAAACATATATATATATACATATATATATATATATGTATGTGTGTACAAGCATGTGTAGCCATTGAGCATCAGAAAGGGAAGTTCCTCCGTGTGTGTGGTTCATTTTTCATGCACCAGCTACAGGCATGAATAAGTTAAGCATTCTCGATAAAGCACGGCTGCCCTGGTCGGTCAACATTCTCGGAATGCGCTAGCAATAACAGCCTACACAGCAGTGGGACACAGGCAAAAGTGGATCGTCAGCCAGACTGAGATTCGCCAACGTTTGGCCACGGGAAATGTCTCGCAGATCTCTGAAATCAGTTGTGCAGTTTTCCAGAGGACCCATCTTTGACTGAGCCACCACCAAGAAATTAAAATCCAGGCATACCAGTAGCGGCAGATCATAGCAGTATGTGCAGCATCCTGGTGTGCTGTTTTAGTGCTACAATTAACCGAGATTACAAATTGAATATGACGGAAGCTTATTATATTTCCAGAAATAATAAGAGTTCCAGCAAGTCTCTTGGGTTAGAACCCCTAATATTTGCTCTTAGTAATGAGGCAGCACAAGTCTCTGTATAAAAATGAGCTCTCCTAACTGCAGGAATGAGAAAAAATCAAAACAAATGCTGGGGTGCTATTAGTAATAAAGGTCCAATATTGCCGCTGCTTAAAGGCTTCAGAACAGCAGCACATGTGATCTGAATGCAGTTAAAATGTGATTCATTTAGTCAACACATTTCATAAATGTTAGCTTTAAAAATTTGCTTTAGGAAAATTGTTTTCTGTCAGGAGCCTTTGGAAACAGAGGGTTGGATCTAGATTTAATTATGCATAGAGTAGACTCATGAAATCAATAAATTTCGATGGCCCAGTTCTAGAGGTGTCTGTATCTGGATCCAATCCATTGTAGGTTAACAGATTTAAATGCTGAGCACTTCTACTTGTTCAGTTAAACTCTGTGGGATTGGTTTTCTGAATAAACATGCTCAGATCCGCACCGCATGGCAGCAACCTCAAGTATAGGGCCTTAGAAGAAAACCCACTGAAATTAATAGGTTTTTACTTCAGGTTAGGCTTATGTTGCGCAGCTGCAGCCCTATGCCTATCTGCTTGGGAGCGATCCCCATCAAGCTGTAGGGTGAACTGCCTAGGACAAAAATAACTTTGAAATCTTGAGAGTGCCACAGGACCTCCTTGTTGCTTTTGAGGCACATGTTCAAGCTTTGCATGGGATTAAATAAGGAAACAAACAGATTTGGATGCTAGCTTGGTTTTAAAATCAGCAAAATTTGAATTAGGTGACTTTGAGATAGCAATTACTGCATGGAAATAATTGAGCCTATCTTTTGATTGTTGGATCTTTTTACTGCAACGCACTCTCCATTTTGACACACAGAGGTCACCACATCACCCACTGGTTATCTCTAGTAGTCTGTGAAAAGGGGTAGCGAGATTAAAACCTGGTTTGCACATAGTGGGAATTCATGGATTGCTCAACCCTCGAATTGTGAAAACCACACAGGTTCCAAGTCTTGGGCTGGGTTTAGTTCTAGGTCTGGATGTCACATCAAACCCATGCTTGTTAAGCTGGAGGCAAGTTGCAAGAAGGTTTCTTTCTGGTTCTCTCCCATGTGACCCCAGCAACCAGTGGACTTGAGCCCATGTTGGAGACTGGATGCAAAGTGGAAGCAATTAGCAGTGGGAGGCGATGCACTCACTTCCGCCCAGGTGGCTCTGACAACCTGTGCTTTAAACAACCCATGGGTTGTCATCACGTGCAAACTGGGCTGTTAGCTCAGCTATCCCAATGTGTCATGGGTCCCAGCCTGCACCATCTTGTGCTGCCAGCCAGGCATAACAGATCTGAAATCTGTGCCTCAACTGAGTAACGAAGAACATTGAATCACAGTGAGGAGACTCTTATTCAGCTCAGCAGTAGTGTTTGTCTCCCCACCTTCTTCCTTCTGAGTAAATGTCACCGTTAAATATCCCGTCAAGGAACTGCTTCTAAAAGACGGGGCCATGGAGCTAAGGGCATGCTGCCTTCTTACTAAGAATGCCTGGAGTATGACGAAAGAAGCAAAGCCAGCCCAATGCGCTGGCAATTCTGCATCAGCCAAAGCCCTTGTGGGAGTCTGAAAGGGATCTTGTCCAGGGAAGCCACACAGGTTCAAGACTCTCTTTGTGTGGTTTTGGCTGCTCAGGACAGGATCACTTTAAGGCCCAATCCAGCTGCTCTGGCCCTTCGCTCACTGGCCTCAGAATACAGAGGAAATAGACCACCAAAACAGAGGGCAGAAGAGGGCACAAAAGATATGCCTGCAGTCTGCACACTATCACTCCTGGGTGTCTAAACTGTTGCTCCCAAGCAAATAGAAAGGCAATACAAGCCACGGCGTGGAAGAACATGGGCAGGCAACCTCAGGGCTCCTGCTTGCTGATGCTTCCTTGCCTTCATCTGGGCTCTGCCCTTCAGACTGAAGACATGCCAATAGAGGAACCAGCCTTGCAAGGAAATATAGGGGACGTACCAATGCTGAAACATTTCTTTCTAAGCTAACACACCTGTCTGCTCACACCTACCCATACTGGGGCAGCTTGACTGTAGGGTGGGTCCCTCATCACCCAGCGGGACAAGCCATTCTAGGTGAGAGGGTAAATAACTCTAATCCTGGACTACTAATGGATAACACGCCGACACAGAGAAGATTTTGCGCACACGCTCTCATGCACACCATTGTAGGGCTGCCTACCGACTTATAAATGTATTTTTGGTAATTCATTCTGGCAATAACTAAGTGCATGCTAATTCTGTATCTGCCGTCCATCAAAAAGCTGATTCTTCTGTGTCGATATGCTCACTTCAGAGTTCACGAGCCATACTTTTATGCTGCATATTTATTTTATGGCAATAACATGCAAGCAAACCTATCACATTTCAACATTTCTGCTCGGTGTACACCACCAATTGAGAAAAAAGGCAATTAGCGAAATGGATCCAGTTATCCTGACAATATTTTTTAAATCCCCCATAGCTTGGGGTCAAATAAGAAACCATGGCTTGTCTTCAGACTTTGCAAAGAAAGATATTTCCTGGAAATATGTTATTGGCATTGCTTTGTTCCAGATGACAACACTGGGTAAATTTGATCATGGCCGCAAATCGTAGCCAAGAAGGAATTCTTTTTGGGCCTTTTGCAGAAAAATAGTAGTAAGTATTTCTAACAGTGCCATCAATTTTTGAAACTCAGGTTGTTCTTGCTGTGTAGTACACACTCCATAAAATGTGTGTACTAGCACCTCATGAAATCTTCATGACTAAAAAGTGTTCGCAGTGAAAGAGTCATTGTGGTATGCCTGATTTTAATAATATCTACGTTAATCCCGCTGTCGTCTACACCAGTGGTTCCCAAACCAGTAACCCCACAAGCCACCGTTGATCTCTGAGATGACGGTAAGTGGTCCACAAACAGCGAATGGAGCCACGTTTCTCCCAGCCTCATCTAGCCCACCACGTCACAGCAGTGCCCATTCATGAAGGGGAAGTGAAGGCACGTGGCCACTTCCTCTTCTCTACAGGGACTGCCATGAAACGGCACACCCCGATGTCAGCATCCAGGTTTTGGGCAGGAGCTGCAGATCTGGCAGGGCAGTCAATTGTGAGATGGATCGCTGCCACCATGTTGGTTGCCCAACGGCTAGGAATTTGAACGCTGACAGTGGGAGGGCGTGTGTGTTGCGGGTGGCCCGGGAGGGATTTTAATGGAATGTCAAGAGCGGTTTCTTGGATCCAGACGTTTGGGAACCTCTGGTCTATGCTGTGAGATGAACGCATTGGAACCAGAATTGTTCTCTCTGCATGCCACATGCTCATCCTGCCAGGTGTCTTAAGCAAGGATGAGCGTCACAAGGCTTTGTTACGTCTGAGATCAGCCTTGGGGGCTCAAGAAATGAGGCAGGCAGGCAGGCAGGCAGGCAGCCAGCACCTACTTGTTACATGGACAGGCACAAAGCCCACAGAATTTTCCTAGGTCCGTCAAATTCTTTTCTGCTTCTTTCATGTCCTTATTGATTTGGTCCATTCCCTCCTCGATGCGTTCCAGTTGTTCTGATTAAACACCAAGTATTTTATCCCCACAGTATGAAGCAGATGGAAAGGGACAAAGAAAAAAAAGGACAAAAAAAACAAAAACAAAACAACAACTTCAGACATTCACTCATGACAAAGAACTGGACATTACAGAGCAGAGCTGGTACCCAGTACCTACTTGTTACAAGGACATATGAAAAGGCCACAGCATTTCCCTAAATCTTTTAAATTTTTCTCAGCCTCCTTCATGTCTTGGTTGATATGGTTCATGCCTTCTTCGACACGATCGAGTTGTTCTGGTCAGGACAAAGGGATGACAGGATGGAATGAATTGTATTTTTGTTGTTGTTGTTGCAGCTGTTTTGTCTTCAACAGAACATGAGAGAATGATGGATGGAGAAACTGAATTATTATGGTGGCATTTCAATGCATTGATGGGCAACTGATGCATTGAAGCAAAGATGGAAGCAAACCTAGAGGGCTGAAGAGTGATGCCCTTTGCTAATATGGGAAAGCACACACACAATCACAGACAAAGGAAAAAGAGAAGCTTCAATGTCTATTAATTTGAACAAAAATGGAGGAGCTGTCAAATACCTCAAAGTCCAGAAACATAATACAATACATCCAGTTACTAAGACATCAATGACATCCAAGAGAAAGAAAGAAATGGGGTTATTACCTTGTATTCATGTACATTAAGATATAAATGACTGCCTTCCATGACAAAATATCTACAGTACTTCCACTTACAAATGTCTTTGAGTTTGATGATGGTTGAAAATGTAATTGATCTGATTTGAGAGTGGGTGAAAGAATACACAGCTAAGAATGGTATTAAGAATGGATATGAGTGGTTGAGTTAAGATCCATGTCCAGATACAAACTTTTTCAAAGACTGAGGCTCTTCAGATCTGATTTTTTGGCCGTGGTCCATCTCTAAAGAAGAGAAGACCATGGGTCTTATTCCTCTGTCAGTGACATTGTTATATGCCAGGAGTAACCCCAATGGAGTCAAAGGAATTACATAAATCCAGGGCCCAGTTCCATGTCCAAAGAAGCAGATGGACAGGCTAACATAGACTCAGTGGGATTCAGAACAGATGGAGAGTGTGAGTGTGTGTGTGTGTGTGCATGCATGTGTGAAAATGCAATCGACTGTTGCAATTTCTTTTCTTGACTAGCATAATTAGCTATTTTGTTGCTTACCTGAACTTCCATAGCTTCCTGGACATTATTAGATCAATGTAATTCCTTTTGCTTTAATGGAGTTACACCTGCTTTGCATTAAAACAGTATAACGTATCTTTCAAGCTCACCACAGTGTGTTTATAATTCAGCAAATAACAACTCAGGTTCATGAACACCACTAGTCTGGTGCTTGCCTACACGGCCCACATTTTCACAAGTGCCTGAGAAGAATCTCATGCTATTATTGATTGGTAATTGCCTTCTTATTAGAGAAGCAAAAGTAGCCTAAAGAATGATACACATGCAGTAGATTGCACTAATGATCTTGCAACACAATCTGATACACATTTACTTGGAAGTTGGTCCATTTGGGTTTAGTTAGGCTTGCTCTGAGTTACATATGGATAGAATTGCCATCTTGATGATAGCTCACAATAGTTGTTTATCCATTATTCAAAAAATGTAGACCCCTGAACTTCACCATCAGTTGCCCCCCTCCCATGAATCTAATTCAGTATCTACTTTTCAAATACACCATGGCAGCCAGATGGGAAAGAAACATTTTAATCAATGGGGAAACCCTAATCCAGGCTACAGGAGGGAAGAATATTAGATTGTTGAAGCAGATTCTGTTCTCATTTTCCACACTGGAACAAAAAATAATAATAAAAATACAGATTCACACTTCTCTGGATCAATAGGAGAGAAACAAACAGCACAGTTCACAAACATTAAATAAGAGGCCAGTCGCTGAAGTCAAAGGGATGGAGGGAGTGGGGAAGAGAGAAAAAGAAATGTAATTTGTCCGTTGGTTTCAGAAATGTCTTTCTCCAGCTCTCTCTACAGAAGGTAATGGGTAAGAAACAGGATGGGGATGATGGAGAGGAAAGAGGTTGCAGGTTACAGGTTTCTGTGTGATAGAGGACCTCGAGGTGTATCCACGGGGTGGTAGGCAATGAAGTAGGTTTTCCAGAAAATGTTGCATCAGATCCCCAGCACCCACAGAAAATTCTGCTTCCCTAAGAACTACCTGAGATAGTTAACATGGTTAACTGAGACTTAACATAGTTATTTGGCTAATGTTTAGTAAACAAATCTAAGAAATAAAATAAATAAAAGTGGGTGTCATGTTTGTGCAGTATTATCTCCCAAAAATGTTTTTCACCAGCAGCCAAGCTTGCTTGAACTAAAATATTGGGGGTGGGGAGAAGGAAGGACAGAAAGACAGCCCCTGAGTGTGGTTTTAATCAGTGGTAGTGAACATGTGGCTCTTCTGATCCTATAAGACTACAAATCCCATCAGTCCTCATCCAGCTAGTCAATGGTGGGGGATTCTGAGAGTTTCAGTCCAGCAAAATTTGGAGGGCTACACATTTCCCATTGCTAATTTAAATGTTGTTAGAGTAAAAAAAACAAAACAAAGCATTAAAAGCTGTACTTGGAATAGAATTAGTGTTATCCTGTTCCCTCATTTAGATGTGAAGAAAAAAAAACCTGAAGGCACTGAGAACTGTTAATTTTAGCAGTGATTTTAGCACGAAGACAGTTAAATACAATGCTGATTTTAGATGTATGTATGTATTTATTAGATTGCTATCCCACTCATTAGCCAAAGTGAAACTCTGGTTTAACCCACATCATGTCCCTTCCCAGGGAGGTATCTTATGGTTTGAATCCACTGATTTCCATGGGGACTACTCTAAGTCAGACTGACCTTGGAGACAACTTCAGTTGCCCCAGTCTGACTGATATTCTCTGCATTTGCTGTGTTTCCAGTCCTATACACATTTAGACAGCAAAAAGTAAGCCCTTTTGCTGTCTAAACATGCATAGGATTGTTCTTTAACTGCTTTCGTGAACCAATGCATTTCCAAACACTGAGGACCTTCTGCTGAGAACTGAGTTCCACATCACATCATGGGAGGGAAAGAAATGTTATTTGCAACATGCTGTGCAGAAGAAGGCATGGTGGATTGTTTTCTCTTGGAATTTTCCATGGACTTAGTGATACAGATGAGCTCGAGATAATTATAGATTTTTATGTTTGATTCTAATTCTTTTGACCAAAGACAGGGGATATGTGCTCCTCTTGACCTGGAATATGCTGCATCTTTCTGAGCCTTTAGCTGACCATTCACAGCCCTGAATGTGCCAGATCCTTAGACGTGCAAAGCATGAAGTCTCCCGTGAGTGGTGGTCTTGCTCCTGTTGAGTCAACTGCAGGTTTATAGATTGGAGGTGAGCTTACAGAGAGAGAGGAGAAGGCATGTCCCATTTCTAGTGCAAAGAGCTAGAGCCAAACATCAAGACGGATGTGGCGCTCTCAAGGGGAACACACACGTTTGGTCCTTAAGGACAGAGAAACGGAAAGATTTGGGCATAGCTCGGTGGGGCCTGTTTGCCATGAGGCAGCTGGAGATCTTCTGCCAAGTCAAATCTTCCCGGAAGCCAGCTTAGCCAGCCCCAGGAGGATGACATCAGCTTAGAGCGTTGCTCAGGTGGGTCTGAAGCAGCACAGCAGCTGCTATTTCAGTGCTTGTGCTTCCAGGCAGCTCAGCCGCAATTGCCAAGAGAAAAGAGGATGGCCTGATGCAACAAGGCTTAAGCAGGAGCAGGCTGTGGCTTGCATATGCTGGGAAATCACACCCTCCGATGCACACGGCTTATCCCTAATCCCACATACATGCACGCTCTGCTCCATTGCTATAGGTCATTTTCATGTTGTAGGGATGAGCCCCGCATTGAAAGCCAAGTTTTGGGCCTGAACAAATGAAGCCTAGTAAAAACCATGCTCACTTCTGCATGGTCACAAAGTAGGACCAAAGCAGGAGCCTTGTCCGTGCCCCACTGAACCAAAAGGCTTGGCTTTAATCCCCTTGGGGCCCCTGCCCTAAATCAGTGAGACCCAGTCACTTTAAATCCGGACTTCAATATCTGTTTTTGTCATTGGAACCTAAGACTGCAATACTGAAGACGCTCAACGGGGGTATAATCCACTTACCTCATCCCTGTGCTGTCAAAATTCAGGATGGTAAAGCAAAAACATACAGGGCCCGCATGTTAGTGGCAAATCACTAGACAAGGCTAAAATGGACACATTTCCTTGAAGCCAAGCTAAATTAGTCCATCTTAGTCTCCCAGATTTGGGTGCGTGCCTCTACATTTTTGTTGCGGTGCTGCTGAATTCGGTGGCAGCAGTGGGGGAAGAATGGGGGCAATGGGGGCAAAAGCAGTCCCTGGACCTCCTGCAGTTGCCCACCGCTGGTCTAATGGGGCTCTCTTACCCGCAAAAGCGCTCAGGATTGTCTTCCGCAGCTGCAATCCGATTGTCTTCCGCAGCTGCACACTTATCTCGGAACAAGTCCCTCTGAGCTTGGTGAGACTGAGTTGTGGGTGGTGCCTTTAATAGTTTATCCCATTCCAGATACAGCCGTTCGGGCAAGTTTTTGGTTTGCTTCCCCGTACTGTTATTCCCAAGGGCACGAGGGCAACACAGAACACTGTGCCACGTAACACAATTTCTGACATTTTGGGAAATGGAACAAATAATTGTTATCAGTAACTATGTTTTCCATTTCAATCCTGAAAACTCAATTCCTGCTTTTACTAATGTAAAATGCTTCTCAAATTTCCTAATATTCAGACCACAGTGATTGCATAGAATCTGCACATGGCCTGCTATATCAAGGGAAGGGCCTTTGGATGCCTTCGCTTTTCGGAAAATTTGCCATTGTCTTCTCTTACCTCCACCACAATTTACTTCTGCAGATCCATGAGTGAACAAACCAATTTGTTTTGTTCCTCTGGTAAGGATGCATGAATCTGTCCATTTTGGTTGCTGTCACTTCCTACTTTTTTCAGTCTTAAATTTGATTCATCGCAGACTTTTCTTTTCTGAAATTTTTCTTTTTCAAGTTGCTTGAAAATTTATACAATTTCTATGTGCATGTGTACTGATACATGTACTTTATGCCTGTTTGCCTAATAAATACATTTTACAAATGTTAAATATGTAACAGAATATGCTTTATTGTCATTTTCATTAATATAAACTTTTTAGTATAAATTTTTTGACTGGAGAACTTCAAAACTTGGAAGCATTCAAATTTTGAAGGATAGCTACATTTTGGGTTGCATGTTGGTTTGAAGGTAAAAGCATTTGGTACATTTGCATTAAAGTACAAACTGAACTAACATCTCTCCCATCCCTCTTCTCAAGTATACATTGAGATTGTTCAGATCTTAATAATGGACAGAAGAGATTCCACAGAAGTACTTTGTGGCTTGCTTTGTGGTTTGTGGGCCTGGTGATCTCACTGTACCCCTGCACTGTACTGGTGACCTCAGATTACTTCCCTATAGCCTGAAGTGCCTGATTCTGCCTAATCTTGGAAGCTAAGAAGGGTTGGGCCTGGTTGAAATCTGGATGGGTGACTTGAATTCAGCATTAAGCAAGCAGCTGGACCCCAACCCTATGGTTGCTGTGCCCCTTCCAACCCTATCATTCTATGTGTTTTCTTCTTATGGGAAAAATAAACTCTTGTTCTGTGTTAATTACAGTGAAGATGACTCGTGAGGTTTTTGTCTTGTAAATTATCTGCAAGTTAAAGGAAGCAAGTCATCTGAATACCTAAAAACATGGGGGAAGGGAACCCAAAGGAATGAGATGCTCTTTGTCATCTGCATGTTCAAATGATCCATATCAGAGTCCTTCTCTACATAACAGTTAATGATCTTAAGCAACCTCTGTTGTCAAAGTTATCTGAAAGAAGAGCACATGGCAACATTTAGAAATGGTTTCATTAACTGGATCATCTAGAGACATATATGATTTGGACACATTACATGGACAACGGAAGGTCCAAGGAGCTAGAAAAGGTACAGCTATTCCAACTGCATAAAAGAAACAAATCACATTTGCTCCCAAATATTGAGAAATCCTTTTTTCAACCTGTATATCACTCTAAAAAAAGGGGACACAAATTTGATTTCAGAACTTTGAACACAGTGATAAGGTTCTGGATCATTACCGGCCTTTTCCCTAAGAATGCCACAATCTGTTATTCAGGAAGTCCTTAATTTGGCACTTGAAGTCATGATGAATACCACTTAAAAACATGTCTAAAAATGTTACTCCTATATGCAATTCTGTTGCATATTCTCATTATCTTGGTTTTGAATCTGCAGAGATTTGGATTGTAGCCTGCATGCAACATGTAGATCAAGGTGGACACAATGTGGTTCTCCAGATGTTTTGGTCTACAACTCACATCAGTTCTACCCAGCATAGCCAATGATAAGGGATTATGAGGGTTGTAGCCAAAAATTCTGCAGGACCACACTCACCCACCCTTGACATAGTCAGACATGGGCAGTTCTCTGATAAAGGCTTTAGCTTTCAAACTACATCCTCTGAAAATATAGGTTCTGGTAAAACCAGTCCAGAATCCCAGTCATAAAAGAAGAGGTATCAAACAGGAACAGAACCGAGCTGTTGTTATGGTTCACTTTGGCTTAATGGAGGCACAAGAAACTGCATATTGGGCTATTACGTTTCATGGCATTTTCAGTGAAAACCAAGAAATCCAGGATCCTTATCCCAATAACTCCCTTGCATTATTATGACAGTGTCTTCTCTAATAACATGATTTGAAACCATTTGAAACAAAGAACCTCTTTCTGTAGACATTATTTTGCTGTCTGATTAAAGTATTTGGTAGAAGTCACTGAAATTGTGGTTTGCTGGAAGGAATATCATGATGAACCACATAGCAAAGCTGCAAAATGGAAGTTTTTTGATTTATCAGAATAAATGCCACTTGCATACTGGGTAAAGAATGGCTTCATAATTGAAATATCATTAATTGATCATCATTAAAATCCCTTTGGAGAAAAATAGCTGCATGATCATGTACCAAAGTGTAATGTAGAACGATTCCAGCTCTGGCCCAAATCATTCATTAAAGCATGTTTGCATTCTCTCTCTCTCTCTCTCTCTCTCTCTCTCTCTCTCTCTCTCTCTCTCTCTCTCTCTCTCTCTCTCTCGATCTGATGGGAAAAGATGGGTTGAGATGATACTGCATCTTAAAAGGAGGAGACAATGTGCCCATTTCAGGGACAATAGTCCACACACCTCTGGCTCTTACGGTCACTCGTCTGCTTGTGTCTTACTTGTCTGTACACTGAAGCACAATATACACCAAACCACAGCGAAGAACAACTAAACCATAGATGTTCACGAATGTTTAAATGTCCTTTATAAGTGACCATTGAGCATACCAATACTGGCTTAAAGGAATTCAATCCAATAGATTCTCCTCTGAATCTACTGGAAATTTTCATCTCAGAAGTAAAGATCCTGGTGGCTGCATCGGTTAAGCCGGTATAATACAATGGGAAATGGTGTAAAGTAATGCCTTTTTGCATTTCAGTCCTGAATGTATTTACTTGGAAGCAAGGGCTGCTTCACGTTCTGCAAGTAGCCTATACAGAGAGTGCATAAAAAGCACTCTGAAAAGATCCGTGTGGACTGTGATGTCTGACAAGGAGAAGGGGCCATATCTCAGTAGCAGGCCGCACGGGCAGCATGTGGAAGGCCACCACTTCATTCCCTGACATCTGCAGAAGGAGCTGAGAAAAGGCATTTCTGAAACCATGGAGGGCCGCTGCCAGTAAGCACAGACTGGTCTTTCCCAGCCTGGTTCCCAGCCAGTTGGGGAAGGCTGGTGCAACTAGATAGACGGATGTTCTGCTCAATGCAAGGCAGCCCCCTGCGTTCCTAACTGCACATTTCATGCTTATTTCGTTGCAGGTACGTGCACTGGTACTTTGTGCTAGGACTGGGCTTCTCTTTGATGTGTGTGCAGTCCTCCACCCTAATGCACACCATGTGGTTTCCAGGCTTGCTGTACACCAAACACTTCCCATGTCAAAAATTCAAGATGTTTGATGTGGCCCTCAGTTCCATGTATTGCAGAAGAACTTCCAACCAAACACCCTTCAATGCAAAAGCTACAATAATCAAGATATGGAGGCCTGAAATATTATTCTATTTTTCAGGAAGGGCTCCCTTACAGAAAGCAGTTTCAGGACTACAGGCTTACTTGGCAAGCTTCTGCTTCGGAACACTGTGATTCAAGGACCATCAAAGAAGGCCTGTTGTTTTTAGTGGGCAAAGGAAAAGTCTTGCTTCTTTTTGTGTACCTCACCAGTAACCAGGTACGTATTTGACACAGTTGCAGGTCCAGACCCATAAGCAAACACCAGCCCAGCTGCATGCATGTGTCATGAGTCTCTTTAATCAATATCTACAGTTAATCATTCACGTCAATGAAAATATGCTTCAATTTCTTATGTAAATGATTGAAACTTACCTCCTTGCTCATCCAACATAACCAAGGTCCTGATACCAGCATCTTTGCTCTACATCCAAGCAAGAATAACAAGATGAAACACAGAGACGGAGACAGAGACAGAGAAAGAAATTAGTGAGAGATCAAGTCGTTCTTGACATGGATTTTTTTTTAAAGGAGTATCAAAGATAATCCAGTGAAAGGCATGGCAAGAGGTGACAGACTCCACAGGAAACAGCTACACCCTTAAATAACATAGAAGGAGTTTAACATTCCCCAATGCACCTGTTATCACTATGGAATTTATTGCAACGTGAGAAGGCATCAGAAGGAGAGAAAAAGAATTCATCAGGATAGGATAGTTCAGCCTTTAAGAATGTAAGGAGAGTTCTGCTGGACCAGACCAGGGGCCCATCTGGTTGAGAGACCGGCTTGCACATCGGCCAGTCTGGGGAAACTCACAAGCAAGATGTGGGCAAAGTAGCACCTCTGTTCCCACCAGCAACTGGGTCCCCCACATCCAACAGACTTTTGCCATGCTGGACATGGGAACCAAACGTCCCCCAGTACTGAGAACTGGGATCCCTTTTGTATTATATTCTCTCCCATCTCCCTTCTACAAAAGGTGTGGAAGTAAGGTTATCTCTCTCCCCACTACCCTCACCCAGGGCACACACATCCTTTTGGGTATCTAGACAAGAATGCATATGAATAGGGCATTCACGTGTAAAATCTAGCAAGCCCAGACCTCAACAGTGTTCTCCACACCCTAAATAAAATCTTAAAAGTTACCATATGAACTGGGTCTTTGCTCATTGGATTTTCCATGCACATGCCCTATTCACATGTTGTGCTCACATGCGTATGGCCAGCTGACTTGGATGATTGGACAGGTGGACTGGACGGGCAAGGCAGGAAGGCACCTGCAGGAGAAAAGCTGGCAGGACAGTGACTTCTGAACTGGTTCCTAGATCACAACCAATAGCAGCAAAAGACAAAGTCTAAGACAGAAGGTCCTGACACTTAGACAAGGCATTGTCAGCCAAACGTTCCTCATGGCAATAGCACAGCCATCTCATATGTGGGCATTTCCTAATTACAGGTGAGGATGCGCCGTGGACGAAGCAGCAGCTTTGACCTGAAATATTGGTTGGTGCAAAAGCAAAGCACAACTTCAGCAGAAGTTGCTCTGACACTGTATTACCTTCACTGTTTCTCCTTTCCCCCCTTAAAGCCTCACAGAAATGCATGTTTGTTTGCACCAAAGCAACTCAGAACAGAAAACTTGCTTCTGGGTGAAGGAGGAAGGAGGAAGATACAAGAGTTCTGCTCTGGAAGCTGCAAGGGCTTGTGGAAAGAGGGAGCGTCAGTCACTCCTAATTAGGCAATGCTCGTAGCTATTCTTTGCATCACAAGAAGGACTGGTGTGCGTGCATTTTCTCCTTTCATTTCAGCACAGTGTGAGAAGTGGAATGTGTTGTTTCCCTGCACAGCCAAGCTTTCCAAGATGGCTTTTAGAGCTCACCTATCTCCCCTCATGAGTGCTGTTTCCTGTACTACATCAGTTATAGGAAGAAGATGTAGGCATAATTCAGTTTCCTTCTTTTATTGCTGCTCTGAATATACAATTCTGGTCAAAATTATACTGGAAACCATTTGTGTGCATGTGTGTGCACGAGGGAGAGAAAATTCAACAAGAAGAATTAAATAATACAGATGTCCACAGAAATCAAGATGAAGGTGAAGGAAGGTAAAGGCAGAAATATGAGCAAGTCAAGGAGAAGTCCCCACTTAACTGAGAACTAAAAGCAGAATCGGAACCTTGGTTAGTGAATGTGACACAAGGGCTGAGCCAACATTCCTCACCTTACTTGTGGGTGGGCCAGGGTGTGTGGGGCATTTCACAGAGCATTATCTGGTGGGTGGAGGGGGAAGTGGAAATCTCCAACAGGGTGTGTGTGTGTGGCAGGGGGAAAGCTAGCAAAAGAGTCCACAGGAAAATCCACCAATTACTTGATTTAATGCTGCATGAAATCATACTGGCCACGTTCACATCAACACTGGGGAACAGAAGCTACCTTACAACAAACCATGGATTTCTGGGCTGGTTGGCACACCTGCTCCACCCACCTTGCTGGGTTCAGATGACACAGCCACTCATATAGCTTGGGGGGGTGATTAGGCAAAGTGTGCGACTGGCTTGGGCAGGAGTGGGAAAAAGACACCACGGAGGCCCCTTTCCTCCAGTGATCATGTGAATCCAGGTCAGGTCATGGAGACAAAGGAAGAAGGGGCAAGCTTTTCGCTTCTTCAGGAAGAGTAGCAGTGCAATTCTATATATGCTTCCTCAAGTGTAAGTCCCATAGAGTCCTGCACACAGGAGAATACAGATCTCACTCAGTACGTGAGGACTTTGGAGGAAGCATGCCTGGGATTGCACTGTGAAGTAATGTGAAGCAACATTAAAACTGGGCACATGGTTGTGCTCCAAATTCTTTCCCAGATTGCGGGGTGGTAAATGGGGGTGGGGGAAATCGCATCAACTATTCTCCAGGATACAGGTTTGCGAGATCCTTCAACTGTGCAAGGAAAGTCAGAAAAAAACCTTGCTTCAGGAAATGCTAAACACAATTCCCTGTCCACCTGCTAAAGGCATGACGAATGCAGCATGACTACTTTTATGCAGTTCAGCACTGGAGACCCTTTCTTCTTCTCTACTCACCCAGTGGATGGTTTGATAGTCTCGCTGAAGAGATGGACGCATGGCACATGGACAAAACATGGCACCACACAGTCCAGCGCCTGTGTGGTCACTGTCTGCCTGTACTGCATTTGCCAGCCCGTTTATGTCTGGCAAATGCCCGAGGCTGTGCTGCCACTTGCTCAGCCAAGGCTTTTGCACTTGGCCAACTGCACTGCAGACACTGTGCTTTGGACAAAGCAGCCTTTGCTTGCAGCTTTGCAGGACTGGAGCTGCTGGATTCAAGCACAGGCTTCACAAGACCTGACTGATGCTGCAGAGCAATTAATTTGCCCCACCAGAGCTTGGTTTTCCAGACCAGAGGTCCCGTAAGAAGATTTTGCAGGAAGTGACTTGCCCAGAAACAGAAATGCTGTGGGCCTGGACCAAGAAGTCTGGCTGCTCAAGATGCGAGAGGAAGTGGAGCCCACACTCAGTTGATGTACAGGAGCAAGCAAGACCGGCGCTTGCAACTGGCTTCAGGGTCAGCCACCTCTGACATGCTTGAGGGCAGCAGGCAGGCTATGCAGTGCGCCAGAGCCTGCCCTGATGAACTGCTGCCCAAGGCAGCTGCCTCACTCTGCCGAACAGGAGGGCTGCTCCTGGGAAACGGAACAGAAGATTTGTCTTCCCTCTTTGGCTTTCAAGAATGGCAACACACGGCATCTCAGGGCACAATCCGGGGTGTGCTTAGGCAGAACAAAGTCCTACAACCCCCAGCATTCCCCGGCCAGCATGATGGGAACTGTAGGCTTCTCTTCTGTCTAGCGATGCATGAGGTTGCCTCCTTAGTGTGTTTTGGGTTGCTTTAAGCATAATCCAGGATTCTGTGGGCCAAATAAATGCATTCGCTAATGCATATGGAATGGGCTGGAAGGGCAGGGCACACATGCTAAGGCAACCAATTCAACCCATTTTCTTTCATTTACTCTGGTGTAACGATTTTGTTTTGAATGAGGCAGGAGAGAGATTAATCGACCAGGACAGCCTGACCTTGCTGGCAGTTAGAAGACTCTAAACGGAAGTGTCAGTCGCCTAAAGACACAGGAATGGCTGCACAGCCATTTCCTAGACTTGCTATTTATTTCTCCAGCTTTCCTTCCCCTTAGTTAACCAGAATCTGTGTTAACACTGTGGTGTCGCTCAATGGCTCATGAAATGTGCTAATGAGTTCGCCTGAAAGGCAATGTAATCTCCCACCAGCACCCAATGCAGCCGCCCCACCTACTTGGCTGCAGCAGTTTGCAAACTCCTTACTTTGTATACCAACTGCACGGAACAGATTGGTTTCAAACATTCGCCTGTTAAAAATTCTGTATCTGTCAATATAATCTTTGTATCTATTTATTTATGTGAATCTCAACATCCGGATACACATTTCCTTGAAAAGTAACGTAATTGTTTTCTTTCCCTCTCTCCATTTTCCTTAACCACGGCAACATCAACAGTCCATGGCGAGTGCATGTGTGTGTGTGTGTGTGTGTGTGTGTGTGTGTGTGTTGGGGGGAGGGAATCATGATTTTCATAGCAAAAAGAAATGTGCATCATGATCCTAACTCACATGTAATTCAACGTGACTTGCTCTTAACTGCATTAGGATTTGCAACCTTATTCTCACGGATGCTATTCTTTGAGAGAGAAAACATATTTTCCCCTCTTTCTCCCTCTCACTCACACACATGCACAGGCTCACACTTAGCACTGCACCACAAGAAACTCAGAAAAAAATCAGTGCACCCGTGGGGTCACCGGGAGATCATGGCATTTGCCCCCAATTGCTGATCGTCTTCTCCAAAGAAACATGCTGAAATGCCCAGCTGCTTTATCAGAAAAAAACTGTACTCTTCCACATTGTTTTCCTTCTTTAGAATTGGCCCAAAGGTCAAATGCTACCTCAGGAAGGTGTTTTCTCCCTTTTGTGGATATTCTTCATTTTGTCTCAGTACATAGCTATAGGCATTTCATGATTAAAGCACAGGGCACCCCCCTCCACAGTGGAGGGGCCTGAGCTCAGAGGCAAAGCAGAAAGTGCCAGCAGAAAATGCCCAGAGTCAGTTCTCCAGCACCTCCAAAGAAAAGAATCAGGCATCAGGTGATGGGAGAGCTTCTCCGCCTGCATCCCTGGAGAGCTGGTGTCCACTAGAGCAGATAGCGATGGCCTTGATGGACAAATGGGCTGAGTCCACATGGCCAGGGGAGGTGGGCATCCATTGCAATGTTTACTCTGAGCTACACAGGAGCCATCCCTGTTGCGCCATGCAGGAAACGCATTGTGAGGGTGGCCCTCAGCACCACGGAGAGTTTTTATAAAGCTCAGCAGACATGCTGCCATGGACACACAGCCTCATGGACACATGAGTTACTGGCATCCTCTGAGCACAACGCAGATTCATGGAACTCATCACTGAGCACTGCTGCTCTTAGCCTGTGGGCCATGCTCCATCTCGGAGAAGCTCCCTGGAACTGTATTTTATGGGGAGGGGAACTGCCAGGGTCAAAAAACACAACATGCCAGCACGTTTCAGTATAAACCTCTTGCAGCCTGCAGCTGAGTTCTAGGGGAGGTGTGCCAGTCTTTGAGAATGGAAGGGTGGGTTAAGAAGCCACCAAATAATTTGAGGTTGAGGAGAAAGGGACGGGGCTAGGAAAGAGGGTGTGGTCATGCAAGGACCCCCGTGGCCAGTTTGGAATACCAGGTAGGTCGGGCTTGGCCCATGTGGCTTGGCATTCAACACTGCTGCCATCATCATCATCATCATCATCATCATCATCATCATCATCATCATTTTAATATTACCAAACGGTTGAAGTTCTCTGGGTAGTTTGTAACAGTTGATAAAACAGATGGTACAATAAAGCACCATAAAAAATCCAAAACATGAACATTTTAAAACAGCTAGAACAAGTTATGATACAGACTAGACTTCTACGAGATCATTTCACAGTTGGGGAATTGCCACTGCCCTTGTTCCTGCCCCCTGACTCTTCCTCGGAGGTGGCACTCAGAAGAAGGTCTAAGGTGTTGACAGGAGCGTCTGGCTAGTGTCTGGGTAGAGTCCAAACATGAAAAAACACCCAGCATGTATTGGAAAGAGCTCTGAACATCTTGGAACTCACCATGAAGAAGCCAAGTTTAATACCCATCCACCTGTTGTTCAATGAAAGCAACTCTGTTCTGTCAAGCCATGAAGTGTGTTTGCTAACCAGGCACACAGGTGCCTTCTTATATGCAGCCTGCTTCTTACCATGCCTGTAGGGCAGAGGAGGACAGCTCATGGTCTTCCAGATGTTTGGTGTACAACTTCCATCAGCCCTAGCCAGCAAAGCCAATGGTGAGGAATGATGGGAGCTGTAGGTCAAAACTTCTGAAGGGCCACAATTGCCTGCCCTGGCATAGGCACATATGCACATATACAAGAGTATCACTTCTTGTAGTATTTATAGATCTGCTACACAATACAGCAGCTCAGCTGTTGTTGGGAGCGGCCTCTTTTCAGTATTCAACCTCCATGTTGAAGGAACTGTACTGGATATCTGCTCTCTCCCAGGACAGGTTTAAGGTGTGCAAAGCTCCAAACAACTTGGCACCAGGCCACTTCTCAGAGCACCTTCTCCTTGCCACGTTGCCCAGTCCCTGAGGTCCCTGGAAGACTTTCCCTTAGTGGTTCCACATAAACCCATGACCCAGTTGGAGTCCACCAGGAGAAGAGCCTTCTGTGGCTGGGCCCATTTCTATGGACTTCCCTGCTTTGGAAGTTCGGCAGACTTTAACACTGTACTGTCTTCATCTGCTAAAGACATCCTGTTCCAAGGAAGACAGTTTTAATGTCAACCCGTTTATAACCTTTTAATGTACTATCGGTATTCTTTTACTGGTCTCCACTATGTACTGTTCACTGCTCTGCTTGGATGTGGTATTCAAATACCTTGTTTCAGGACTTCAAGAAGGCTTGGCTCCTGTGAGCCACTGGGAAATATTAATGGTAAATCATGAAATTCTTACCTCTTCAACAAGCTGCAGCATACGACGGGTACTTTCGAGGGACTGAGAGGGAGAACAGATGAGAAATGAAGAGAGTAAGAGAGTTACACTTGGTAAATTGACAAAAGATGCAAAACTCAATCATATCAGACAGTGTCAAATAAAAAGAAGACCTATTCATTTTATTTTCCTTTGCATTTATTTCCCAGCCTTCTCCCATGGAATGTCAATCCAGACTAGACACAGATCTCTGGTCTGTCATTTTACTCTCCCAACAACCTGTGAGGTAGGAACTGGCCCCGGGTCATCCAGTGAACCTCATGGTGGAGCAGGGAGTGGGAATCTGACTTCCCCCGGTCCCAGTCCAACACTCTAGCCACTGCACCAGACTGTCACTCTTCTAATCAGTTTCCACCCTGTTGGCTGGAATAGGCCATGAGTCCCTCAGCTTCAGGGTGGCTCAACAGGGCAATGTTCTTACTCTTACATTTAAGCCTGGGAAGGAAAGAGGACCTGTCAACCAAAATTCTCATTGCTTGGGAGTGACAATGGAGAGGAATAGGAGCACAGAGATCTTTAATGTGAAGGACTGCTGGTGCTGGTGGCATTCACAGTCCAAATCCCATAAGAAACCATGTGCTTTCACATGCACATTCTGATAGATCTATAGCTAGGTAATAATATAAGACCATAAAAACATCCCTGCTGGATCAGACCAAAAGTCTGGGTAGTCCAGCATCCCATTTCTCACAAGGACCAACCAGAGGCACTTGTGACACCTAGAAATTTAGCCAGCTACAGATCTAGCCAGCAAGATGTAGTGGACTGATTGCCAGATCTAAAACCAGAAGCATGACTGAAAAGGATGGAACATAAACCTATTTTGCACAAGATACATGTGATAAAAAGAAGTTGTCAAAGACATTCTTCTTTCCTCCATGGAGACTTCACAAAGCCAGTGATGGAAACTTAGGAAGCCACCTCCACTGGGCAGAACCCCAGCACTGCCTTCCAGAACTACCCTTCTTCCTTTCTGCTGCCACCTGGAAAAGGCTGCAATTGTATGGTGGAAGGCCTGTTTTCCATGGAGAAATTCTCTGGTTCAGTCCCTAGCTTCTCCAATTCAGATCACAGGCAACAATATCTGATGATATCCAGTAGGGCAGTATCCAACATCATCCCTGTACCTCCACTTTTAGAACCCACCAGAGATGCAACAGGATGGTAGCACTTTCTAGAGCAACCTGAGGAATAAGCCAAAACCCTCATTTCCAGAATAGGACAAGTCAGTAGAGCTGCCCTCTGTGAGTTCCACTGGCTCATTCTGTCCCAGAAACAGATGCTTGGGTTTGTTTCCTGTTGCTTTAGAAAGCAGCAGCTTTCCACCATGCTAACAGTGGGTTACACACAGGGCAACCCTGCATAGTGTTCATAGAACCAATGAGCTCTATTCTGCTCTCTTGCCTTGTTGCTATCTTTACTCTCAGGGTCTTAACTAGTGGACAACAGGCTACAGGGAGTTGAGGTTGTCCAACCCAATGTCTGCCCCATTTCCCTTACCTCATCGGTCATCTGGTCAGCACGCTGCTGCATTTCTTCCAACTCATTGCGCATGTCAGCATCTTCTGCCATTTTGGCTGGGGAAGTGTTGGCCGGGCTCCTGGATCAAGAGAGTTCTTTAGTCCTGCCTACAAGCCTAGGAGACATGAGGAAGAAAAGTGGAAAAGAATGAACTCACGGGGGTGATAGTAAATAAACTGAACATTGGACATTTGTGCATGACAGTGTATTTCAAAAAAACCTCATTAGATTAGTGACCCTTCCAACAAACTGTTTCTGACTATGTGTGCGTCAGAGCCAGTGTTTTCAAAAGCACTCTCAGATGACTGCTCTCACCAGCAAATCATTTAACTGTCACTGGCAATTCTCATGAGGTACAAAACACTCACAGTTTGTTCCCAAGGTGATGTTGTTCTATTTCTGGGCTGTTAGTCATTCTCTTGAATAGGAACCCAAACGTATGGTTGGAGCAATCACGAAGCAGAACTGATTCATTTCTGTTCCATAAAGTCACCACGTAAACCTTTGTTGAACAAACAAGCTGAATGGAAAGGGGAGATTCACCAAGGGAAGAACCTGCACTGAAGTTCTCAGAACTTCTCCAGTTGATGACTGTGTAGATATCACCATCAGAAAGGAACAAAATTTATCACACCATCTTTGGAGCCCCAAACTTTAAATGTGGAGTAAAGATCACTTCCCTGTGGGTGAGCCTCATACCATGACTTTGTAAAACAGAATATTTTGCCAAAATATAGTCCACAAGTAGGTCTCCCCCACCGAAAGGAGAATGTGGAGACATGCTCTCCTCCTATCTTGCTCTTCTGTCCTCAGGAAATTATACATTGTGCTTCGCTCTGCACAGCATCCTGTGTCCCCACAAGACCAGTAACTGGGCCACTGCCCACTCTTATCTCCAATCTGAGATCAGAGATGGGAGTGGGGAAATTGCCCCCATGGGGTGATGCTTGGCCACTCTGCCCCTTGGAGGAACCCCAGTAGGTTTTATACATCAGTTCAGGGAGCCCAGCAGGCCAGACCAGGCTTGCGAACTGGGAGTTCTGCACCCCAAGCATGCAAGAGTGGTGCTTGCTCAGGCTAGCAAAGGAGAAGCAGCCACGACAACCGGCCTTCTCATCCTGGGTGATGCACGGTGCATGATCTTCCCTGGCCCACTTTACTGCTGAGGCAGCTGCTGAGACAACCTACAGGAATAAGTTCACCTTTTAACCATGCCACAGACTGGGAGGTCCAACATAATCCAAATGGTCCAATTCACTATCCATGTAAAGTAAGAGAGAACATCTATCTTCCATCAAGGTTCAAGACAGTCATACAGTGATTATTCACTGTAGACTTGGGCAGAAAGTAAATATCCAAATGTTTTGGACTTCTGCTCGTAGTATCCTTGTCCACCGGCTATGCTAGAATAAGCTTCTAGGAGCTGAAGTCCCAAATATCTGGAGATATACCTTCTGCGGTGAAGGATATTCTTCAGGAGGCCAACCTAGTTCCCTGAGATAGCTGGTGTAGCATGGTAGGTCATCAGAGCATGATCCTGGAAATCCCAAAGCTCGGATTTCTTCTCCCAAGTGTTCAAAGGGCAAGCACTCCAAGGATGCTCCATGCCCTCTCTTCACTCCAGTCCATCCTTGCCAGTCTCAGGGCAAACACACCTCCTCATTCCCTTGCCCACTTTCCTGCTCCTTCAAAGTAGGAGTCCTGCCAGCAGCAGCAAGAAGTAAATGGAAGGACCTCCCCGTTTCCTCAAAAATGCTAAGCACAGGAGATTCTGGGAGGGTTCTTCATTTAAGGGATCCCAGAATCCACCGTGTGGTGAATCTTTTAGAATAGTATTCCATCACGAACTCACTCACTCGGGAAAGTCTTTTGGAGTTGAACGTCTGGAGCTAGGCTCACAGGGATGCACTGCTGGTACTATTTTTTTACTCACAGGAAAGCTGACATCATATGTTGCCCCTCTCAGAATTCCCTGATCCTCTGAGCTTAGCTGCAATCCTTATACAGCTCAGGAAAATGAGTTTTTTCAGCAGCAAGGTTGGGACAATACAATAATTCACACTCCAGCTGAGATAACTGTAGTGAACAACCCACAGTTCACAGCCCAACAGCAAACCATGGCTTCTCTTCATGGGTTGTTCATGATTAAGAAGCTATGTCTGGTTGCTGCAGCTGGATTCAGACAACATGACATCTCATGTTTTAAGAATAACCCATGGTTCAACAACTCACACTCAACCCATACTCAGCTGTGAGTGGAGGTTATCATGTTATTTGAATCCAATCAATATATTGAACCTTGTTGTAATACAATGTATTTTCAGGTGACTTGGTCATGAATGAGCAATGAAAAAACAGTAGCCTTAAAAGATCTGCTCCTGATGGAGAAAAACCAGTGAGAAGTCATTTGTTGATAAGAATCAACACAGCTGCCTGAATTTTTGGAGTCTTCTTGGAGACATATGGCTACAGGGACTACCATGAGTGCCTAAATTTCAAAAGGTACCATTAAGCCTCTATCTGCACCATAATACTGAGAACAAAGGCATAGTCATGCTTGAAACCAGCAACTGGCAAAGTTAGCTTTGAGGTTAATTCTTCTAGTTCATTTCTCAGGGCAAATGGGACAGAAAAGGAACTGCCATATATCTTTCTGGACTGCCTCTTAGCTGGTTGCTTATTTATTTATTTGGAATTCTTATATGCCGCCCCCTTCACATAAGCCTCGGGGCAGCTTCCAACAAATAAATATCAATACAAATACATAAAAATTAGAAACATCCTGGCAAATAATATAAAACCAATAAATAATCAGCAGTTAATTAAAATAACGTTTAAATAAAAAGGTCTTGGCCTGGCGCCGAAAAACAAATAATGATGGCACCAGGTGGACCTCTCTGGGGAGCGCATTCCATAAGTGGGACGCCACTACAGAGAAGGCCCTCCTCTGGGTACTCACCCTCCTAATATCTCTCATGGAGGGTTCCCGGAGAAGGGCCTCTGCCGCTGATCCCAAGGGGTGGGAGGGAAGATATGGTTTAGATAACCAGGTCCCAAGCCATTAAGGGCTTTATAGGTAATAACCAGCACCTTGAATTGGGCCCGGACTTCGATGGGAAGCCAGTGAAGCCGGTAGAGGACTGGGGTTATATGAGAACAACGCCCAGTCACCGCCAGCAACCTGGCAGCTCTATTTTGCACCATCTGAAGTATCCGGACCGTCTTCAAGGGCAGCCCCAATGCATGTGTCACTGTCACCAGGCAATTGTTCTCCAGGTAGGGACGCAGCTGATGGATCAGCCGAAGCTGAAGGAAAGCGCTCCTCGCCTCAGCTCTGGGTCGAGGAGCACTCCCAAGCTTCAGACCCTGTCCCTAAGAGGGAGTGCTACCCCATTCAGGACAAGGTCCAGGTCCCCCACCCCGAAGCCCGAACCACCTACCAACAGGACCTCCATCTTGTCTGGATTGAGCTTCAGTTTATTGGCCCTCATCCAGCCCATTACCTCGGCCAGGCATCGGTTCAGTACAGCCACTGTCTCACCTGGATTGGTTGAGAAAGAGAGGTAGAGCTGGGTATCATCAGCGTACTGATAATTCCACAGCCCACACCTCTTAATGACCTCTCCCAGCGGTTTCATGTAGATGTTAAATAGCAAGGGGGACAAAATGGATCCCTGTGGTACTCCATGGCAGAGTTGCCATGGCGCAGAGCCATAGTCCCCAGCACCACCTTCTGGAATTGGCCATTGAGATAGGAGCAGAACCACCACAGAGCATTGCCTCCAACTCCCAATCCCGCTAGCTGATCCAGAAGGATACCATGGTCGATGGTATAGAAAGCCGCTGAGAGGTCCAGGAGGACCAACAGGGACGCACTCCCTGTCTCTCTCCCTGCACAGGTCATCGTACAGGGTGACCAAGGCAGATTCAGTACCATACCCAGGTCTGAAGCCGGACTGAAATGAGTCCAGATAATCAGTTTCATCCAAGAGTGCTTGGAGTTGTCCTGCCACCACCCGCTCTAACACCTTGCCCAAGAACTGGATTTTGGCCACT